TAACAATGCACAGTTAGGTGGTAACAGAATAGTAGGTGTTTGAATAGAGGGCCGCAGCTAGTCTCTTCGGAACAAGCGTGTGGATTCAAGCCGAAAGAATGTAGAATGTCCAAAGTATAACGACCTCAATAAACGATTTAATACTTGTTTTATCAAATCAGCCGATTTAAGTACTCTGCTTTTACTCGCGCCCGGTTATTATGTTACTTTCGGTTTCGGAAGTGAATCGTTAAAAGGATATTCGAAGTTTAGATAAGAATAGAAACGAGATTATCTAAACATCTTAATCGCGTGACCTGCTGGCGGATGCCTGGTTCCTTATCGATCAGACAATTCCACAAGGCAAACTTTTGACTGTTTCTTCGCCCTTTGTCTCAGTCAGCAATAACGAACTTATGACTAATTATTGCTACGACATGAAAACCACTTTTACCGAAGCGAAATTTTAAATGTTCAGTTTTAAATGATTAATATGTACGAGTATATATGATGACGATCGCACATCGCCCATCGGTACACGCTGACATTTTTTTCAATCAGCTTCTCGAGTGGTATCGACTTAAGGTTGTAAATGTATGAATCATTAAGGTGATTCAAGCTATCTAGACTCATCAAAGTCAATAAAAAAGTACAACGAGCTTTTTTGACGATGCTTGGCGAAAATCGAGAAATACCTGGAACTGTGCTTTGCAATCTTGATAAGCGTAACGTCCACTTAGTCATCAAATTCCCGCACGTTCGGGGCATCCATGAATATTTAATTGAAGGCTCGATCAGTTTGGAGAACCACGATTGATCGATGGCTATTAGTTGAGATCGTTTATTGCAAGCGAAATGACCGATAATATCTGGAGACGAAGGAAAGAGAGTGGCATTGTGTCGTTGTCTATTAACGAATCAATTTGTCTGCTACGAAGCAAACCTAGCCTCGGTTGTTTGTCTGTATTTCTTTGGAAATGGAAAAGAACCCGCAGCGTATCTCACAAAAAGAGACAGATCTATAGAATAGAAAGAAACATATAGATGCCGCGTCGATCCGCTTAGCCTTAGCTCAAGGAAGAATTGGTACAAGTTTGGTTGAGCGCAACACAATAGGGCGCAACATCGATATACCTTAAGAAGATAATACATGGTTAGACACGTTCAAATAGAGCATGCTTTCAACATAATGAAGCCTGAATTACATTTGTCTCAATTTGGCCAAATGCGTCGTGGAGAATTGTGTTCGGTGCTGGCTCCCTCTCTCGATTGCGTTTTTTCTCTTTTTTTATGTTTTCAAGAAAAAGCTTTCATGGAAGGTTTCCACTCTAACGAGAAACCACTTGCTACCTTTATATCCCTAGTCAACTGATCCATTTTTTTAATCAAAAGAATTTTCTTTCTCACGGCTATACGCGCCGTATAAAGCGCGCGCAATGAAACTCGCGGCGTCGCCTGTTAAAAGCGGAATACATTTGTCGCAAGAAAAATGAGGAGGTTTTGAGCGCTATGAATTCTGTCCTCGCTTACACTGGCGCACTAGCCGCAACAATGTTGAATAACTCGTCTGTGCGCTTGCTGTATATATGTTTATCGTTCAACTCATTGCCGGTCAAGAATCCTTATGACATGCCGAGTCACGTAACCGGCATGCTAATTTAATGAGTTTTATGTGTGCGTCGTAAACTTTATGTTGGCCATTTTCTAACTTTCTTCTGGCAATAAGACGAGTCTTGCGCAATCGTTTCGCGCCTCAAATTGCAGTCCAAAAGCATTGTCAGATAGTTTAGTGCACTGGCGAGGCGCGGCAAACGAGCGACGACTTTTCTCTCTTCCTCCCTCTGTATTCCGTTTCAGTAAAACATACGAGCAGATCGCTTCGAACCTGCCAACACGGCGCGTCCAAATTAATTCCCAACGAACACGTTATTTTGTACAACTCACTCCTGGTGCTCTCAACGTTAGCGCAGCATTCAAATCCGAAGAGAAGAAACTAACAAAGTCAAGGGAACGCCAGAAGAGCAAAGGAGAAAAAATGGAAAGACATTATCTAACGAAGTCATGCGTTGAAAAAGCAATTGCTGGATTCCCAGGCCTGGTCCCACGTGAACGAACCGAACAATACACCTGCCCTACGTAAGCTCTTTGAATTCGGAAAAGATTCGAATGAGTGCGAGAGCTTGGAAATGTCCCGGTTAACAAAGTCCAATGTCGAGGTTGACTGAGAGTCCTCTACACACGGAAAGAGAGAGAAAGAGAGAGAGAGAGAGAAAACAAAAGTCGAAGCAGGACACACAAGGAGAAAATGCCGTCACGTCGCAGCGTAAATACATACATATCCATGGCTAACGCGACGCTCCGCGCTCACTTCGTGCGCACAATAACAACGGGGAAAAGAGAGAGAGAGAGAGAGCACGCGCACGCGCGTGAGTTTCGGAGTTGGGCTGCCTCGCGGTACGCGCTGTATGGTAGCGGTCATTTACGTATGTACGCGGTCGAGCGGTACTTGGTTTCGAAATTTGGAACAGCTGGGCGTTGCATGCATGCGAGCTGACTGGCGAGCCAGCACACAATGAGAGAGAGAGAGAGAGAGAGAGAGAGGATTTGGTCTGGGGAGGTTGCATAGCACGGAGCGAACCTGGTGAATGGCAAAAAGAGGAAGGTGGGTGGGGACGCGTGTAGTAGTGGCCAGCGAGCTATAGCCGAGCATGGCATAATGATAACACGCTCGAATAATAAGGATAGAGCAAACGCAGAGAGAGAGAGAGAGCGAGCGAGAGAGAGAGAGAGAGAGAGAAAGAGGAAACAGGCTTGGATACGCACGCGTGCCCCGTCTTCCGCTTCCAGTCGCAACACCCTGTGCCGCCACCGCCGCGCGTATATATATATATATATATATATAAATATACGTCCTACTACTCTTCGCCGTTGTTTCGTTTCTCTTTGCCAGGTATCAAGCATCTACACATACCTATATAGGTAGCTGTGCGCATACATCGAGGGCCCTTTTATATGCACACTCTGTCACCGCGCTCTTTGATTTTTCCCCCGCGCTGCCTGCTTCCTACGGCCCTTTGCTTGCTCTCTAATGCTTAGACGCTGCTATACCCACCTTATATACCTACTCGGCTTTGCGACACGACGATTTTACTCGGAATTTTTAGAGCGGAGAGCTTTCTTTTCTTCTTTCCTTTTTTTTTCGTACCTTCTTTCTCGTTCACTACGTCAAGCGTCAGTGAACGGAAGTTTCGGATTCGTAGCTAAATGGGATTAGGGTAATCTGACTGCATTGTGTCGCTCGATCTTTCAACCCACTTCAGTCCTCAAATTTTCGTGCAGTCGCATCATTCAATTCGACGTGCTCACAAGGTTGTTCTCTCGTGAAGCGGCTTGTACAGCCTCGTCATCAGATGAATGTCAATATGATGGCACTTTTCAAGGCCTCCGGCCTTCTGAACCAGTAAAGTACGTGCAGCCCTCGATCGCGATAATTCTGATGTGAAGTGACATTTCGAGAAATGTCCAAAGTTGACGTATCTGTTCAAAGAGTTTTTATCCGTGAAGACTGCGATGTTGTCATGTTATTATGGTTTTCTCCGCAAATGAAAAAATTCTTGCGACTGCATGTACACACTAGCTTATTTTTTGTACGCATTTGACGTTGGCGAGGTCAAGTTGACTTTGTTGAAAACAATAATAAACAGAACGGGCATGTAAAATGAATTGTCATAATAAAGTAGGAGGAATGTTGAAAAATTGTTTTTATTGAGAGTCAAGTCATTTAAAATTGTACATTCAGCGCGTATGTACGACGCTTGGAGGTTGAGTATACTTTCCGTGGTGCAGAGTTGACTGGAAGGCTAGGCGGCTAGCAGGCTAGTCGCTAGACTGTTGCGAAAAAAGTTTACGAAAGAGTGTACACCGTTGAACTCGCGTAGCTTTGAAAAGTTTTTCTGTTCGTCAAGTCCCCGGAGCAGTAAGAGAGAGGGAGCAAGCGCGTTACTCTCGAGAGTGCAGTCATTTCGAAAATTACAAGAAGCTGCTCTCGAGAGCCGCCGCGACGTAGTGCAGGAGTGCACTGCACGGAAGAGGACGTAAAAAGAGCCCGCGAGAGAATTATCTGATAAGGGGGCAAAAAATGGGCAAACTAGGTAATACTTTGCTCACACACCATTTACCCATTCAAAGCAAATGCCCTGGCTTCTTTTGTTTATTTTTTAAGCTTTCGAAGCGGTGCGCCCTGCGCGCGTGTGTTTGCGCTGGTATACTTCGGCGAGAGGATGTTGATCGATAAGGACGAGTAAAGTGAGTAGCGAGGCAAGCGATAAACACGTCGATACATGTTGCTCGAGCCGGCGGCCTCTTTTTTTCCGCGTTGTTATTGTTTTTTGCCGTAGATACGTTGCTCATATACGCCGGCATGGCTCGTTCTTCTTTCCTCCTCACGTCTTTCTTCACGCAGTTCTCGTCCGATGTTTTAGCGCGGCAGCGCTTATCTCGATCGCGCCTACTTTTCGCTGTGGCTCTCCAGAGCGAGCGGTGCATGCAATGATCGATTGGCAGGGCATTGTTGGCTCTTTTTTTTGCTTGCTCGCGGCCGCATTGTTTTCTCTTCTCTCTCCCGGTTCCGTGCTCTCCGATATTCTTGCAGTGCATTATATAGTATTCGCGAAGTGGAGAAAGAAAGAAAGCGGTCTTGCGTGTGTATATAGGCAGCCGGTTGCGCTGCTCTTGGTCGATCGTCTATCGTAAAGAAAGTCGCCGAGTACTATCACTGGCTGCGAGTGCATGCAGGAAAAAAGGAGTCAGCAGTAGCAGCAGCAGCGGCAGCAGCGCGGGGTGGGGGCGGAGTGGCCAACGCTTGTCACGTGCGCGCAACCGGCGGCGGCGGCGGCGGCGGTGACTCGGGGCGCGCGGGAGTTCGAAACGCGGCCTGGCCTGCTACAGCGACGGTGGCGCCGAGCAGCGAGCTGCCTGCCTGCCTGCTTGCGAGAGTGCGAGCGGCAACAGCCTGAGCAACGGCACTCTGTCACAGGAGTGCGAGCCGCGCGCACCCACCAAACTGCACGCTCGTTCCGCACCTTCTTCGACGTTCGGTCGCAGTCATTCGCATTGTACGTCAACGGCGTTTCGCAATTGTCTTTTGATCGCCAGATCCGGTGCATTCGCGTGTGCGCGATTCCGTATATCGCATTATTCGTTATTCATTCGTGCGAATCTTTCTACATCGACGACTGTCATTGCTTAGGGACAGTAGGCAGAGATAACGGTCGAATGACATTTTGTCGAAGGGAATACCAGTTAAGAGCTGACAGTGTGAATAGCGTTGATGTGCGCGAGTGAACAAGTGATAAAAATCAGCAGTCAGGAGTCAGTGCGCATTCAGTCGCAGAGACTGATTCGTAGATAGAGTGAGACAGAGATTTACGAGTCATCCATTGATGCGTTGCCGATTGGAGTATAATTGAAGGAGTTTGCTGCTGTCCGCTCGATAAACAGTTGAAGAAAGTTTCGACGAAAGGCACGCACAAATAAAGTGGACAGTGCGCGCGTGCATGATATACGTGAGAGCTGTCGACGTTGGCTTAGAAAATAAAGCGGGGGCCGGCAATTTACGAATCATCGATGTGCTCTCGGCTGGCTGAATGTGAAACGCAGTCGTGACTGATTGAAAAGCCAGTGAAAGTGTTGTGGAAAATTGTGTGGCGCGCAGCTGGCCTCGCCGTCGTCTGACAATGACTGTGCATGCTGAATAATGACCGAAAGTTATGATCTTTGAGCCGCGCGCATAACCCGAGTTTCACGGCAAGCGTCCGGCGAAAGTCCTATCTCGAGCTATAACAACAGCAGCAGCCGCAATAACGACGGCCGTAATAATAATCGATAATCGTGCGTGTGATCGCGTGTCAGAAGCGAAAACCCAACCCAGCGGCAGCGCTTCGAGCCCGAAAAGCCAGTGCGAGCGCGGGAAAAATGGAAAGCAGCGGCATTACGGCGGACTAGTCGAGCGAGAGCGCTAATAAGAAAGCGAGGGGCGGGGAGAGGCGATATCAGTGGCAAGCTAACAGTGCGAAAGATTACGGCGAGCCACGGAATTCGCGGGCGCTTGCGCTTGCAATATCGGCGCCGCGCGCGACTGAAATTTCCCACGAGCGCGGAACAGCTGCACGTATAGAGGCCGAGCCGCACGGGCCTTGGACCGAAGCGAGGACAATCGGGAGTGACGGCCGGGCGTTGCGCGCAGAATTAAAAGGAACTAAGCACGACGGTGGCAGCGCGCATGCAAGTCGGGTGAAAGTACGCCAGATCCGAATCTCGTAAGTGTTCTGCGCCGAGGTCCGTGTGCGGGAAAGCCAGCCAGGCCGAGGAATCAGAGGCCGCGCCTGGCTCGCGGGCGCGCGCGCCACTGGGCCACTCCCTCGCAGCTCGGCGCCGATCTGCCGCTGCGGAGCGCGTGCGGCGCGAAAGGGACTGCGGAGCGGCTCGGACACCGCCGATGATCGATCGGCGGCCGCGATCGCACGCCCGAGATCGCCGCCGATAGGCCAGCGCCACTCGCGCCCCGACGACGAGTCATGCGCCCGAGCGCACCGGCGCAGCCAGCGGCTTGCCGCGGGCCACAGCTCTGCTAGAGGCCGGAGCCAGCAGCGACTCGGCGGCCGCGCGCACCGCAGCGGGGAAACGGCACCGGGCGCAGGGCGGCGCGCGAGGAGGCTCCCCCGGAGCGCGATGCCGGGCCCCGGCCGGCCGGCGGCGCTGCTGCTGCCGCTGCTGCTGCCGCTGCTGCTGGCGGCGGCGGCGGCGCGCGCGGAGCAGCGCTTTTCCGAGACGCCGACGGAGTACCAGGAGGTGTCGCAAGGCGAGGACGCGCGGCTGAGCTGCCGTGTGCAGGACAAGCGCGGCCAGTGCATCTGGCAGAAGGACCGCAAGCCCGTGGGAGTGCACCCCGACAAGTACGAGTGGGCCGGCACCCGAGACGGCGACTGCTCGCTCCTGGTCAAGCGGGCCAGCCTGGAGTTCGACGACGGCTTCTGGGAGTGCCAGGTCACCCCCGGCGACTTCACGCGGCAGGACGCCCTCACCTCGCCGCCCGCCCGGCTGCTCGTGCGAGGTAACTGTCCCTGCCCGAGCGCGCCTCCACTTTCTTCCAGCCGGCCTGCTCTTTTTGCCAGCCTTTCAGTGGCCTGCTATCGCGCACTTTGCGCTTCACTGACTCGCTGCTCTGCCTCCGACGAGCGTTCGTTCTTTTTCTCGCCAGACTCGCGAACGGCGGCGCCGCCGCCGTTGCTGCTGCTGCTGCTGCTGCTCGGCTGCTGCTCTGCTGCTGTACTGCCTGCTCGCTTGTGTGTGCTGTTGACAATGTCGACTGGCGCTGCTTTGTTTTCCAGCGCGTGCAATGCAGCTGTGTGTGCTTTGCTCGTGCTCTGTGATTGCGCAACGCTCTTTGACGAGGGCAAGCACCGGCTTCCCGAGAATCGAGACTGATTTGCCCCGTCTTTTCGACGGAACGTGCACTTCCACATTTGTCATTCCCCGTCGAGCTAACGACATCTCACGCGCCACTACTACATTATACGCACGCGTACCTGCTCCCGGGCATCCCCTTGTTTCCAGCTTTTTTAGTTTTTTTAGCTTTTCTGCACGCGACAAAGGCTCGTCGCAACTCGATTTCGCTCGTATTAAGAACTCTCTGAAACACTTCCATTTGCCTCGGGGGCTCCGGCTATGCTAATCGAAGCCTTTCAGACAGGCCTTGGGATATGAAATAGTTAATACTACTTTGCATCCAAATGAGTAAAACTGGCTGACAATCGAGCCATAACGCTGAAATATTGCAGTTTTTGCTTGCATAAACGATTAGCGAAGCATCGGAGCCGATGTAGTACGGCAGCGGGGAGAAATAGGTCTAGTCGGCGCGAGCTGAGGAGGAAGCTAGCAGGAAGAATGTTGGCAATTCGTCAACCGAGCGCTCAAACGCAGGCATGTACCTCGTACCTGCACACCCATAGAATGGCATATGTGTTGGTTTTATTTGGGTCTGCAGAGCGCGCTCTCCCTATCCTTCGGAGGCCTTTTTTTTTTATACTTGCTCGTCTCGTCGTCGCAAGGGCTTGTCGCGCGTTTGCTCGACGCGCGGCTCGTTCCCTTTGTTCCCTGCAGAAGATAGAAGGAGCAAGAGACTCGGCCTGACTTTCCTTCCCTTTTTCGCGTTGGCCTTATTTTTTGCGCGGCCGCCCGCGCCTCCGCGCGTCAATTTTTTTCTTCGTTCCTCCGGCCCAATATCTTTTTACGGCCGTACGTGATTTTCTCGGAGCGATAAACGGCCGCGAGCCGTGCTTGCTTTTTTGGGCGCGAAGGCGCAAAAACCAGGGCTTATTGCTTAATTTCACTTGGCTGACGAAACAGAGGAATTCCAAGATTTACCTACCGAGGCGAACGCGGAAAAGCTTTTTTCGACCGTAGCTAGCTCTATACAATGCCGTGAGAGTAGGAAGTGTCGGCATCACTTTTTTTCTTTCTTTCTTTCTTTTCAATCATTCAAATGCGTTTCACTTCGTGTCTCACAAGCTCGATGTACACTTAACTTTCAGTACTTGTACCGACTTTTAGCTTTTTACTTTATTTTCTTAGGAATGTTACAATCACTCACACTTTTACCACAAATTACAATCCATTACCATTTTTCTCAAAGAGAAATATCATCACACTTTGAGACTCTTATTTCATTTTTAAGAAGGAATTTTTACCTATCACTTATAACAAAAACGGCAGCAGATGAAGAAAACTTGAAATTCTCACAGTCAGAAACATACTGGAATATTTTTCCTTGAGTAAATACTTTTATTTCAGTCGGGTTCGATTCGTGCAGATATCGATTTTACACGATTTCATTCTACGCGAATTTTAAACTTTTGTTTATTCAACGTAATGTTTTTTCAATTGTACAGAAAACGTCAAATAGTATTTATTAGAAAAAAAGCTTGGATAATAATCGATCGAAGGTATCCTACATAAAAACGATCACGATCCGTATTTCGAATCTAGATTTTGACTTTAAAGAAGGTGCGTGCATAATTTTAGGCTTTACAACTGAAAAATTAATGGGGTGGTAAAAGTGTCTTGTCGACCAAAATTTTTTTAATAGGTTGTATCTTCGGTGAAAAGTAACTGGTAGACGCGTGCGACGTCTATATTAAAATATTTCACTTTTTATATATATAAAGCTTGTAATGATTCATTTATCTACTCTTTTGAAATGTATAATTATCTGAGTAAAAAGTTAGAAAAACCTACCGAAAGTGTGCCAGAAAACTTTTTCAAATATACGAAAAAAATTTTTCGTTATACCACCAGTGCCTTGTCGATAGACCTAAATCTAATCTAAAAGATAAAAAAAGGTTTTATTTAAAATTTTTTTAGTTAATTACATTTTCTTTAGAATGGTTTGGTCTTCCTGCAATCGGTCAAAAACTTGTTGACTAATCGTGAATACTAAATCAGAGAGTCGTAAAACTTGTATTTTAGAGAAAACGCGATTAAAGTTTACTACATGTACCGTAACCTGTAGGTAGAGCGTTAGCAACAAAAATTACTGCAGAAACCCAATTCGATTTTGATTCTGAAATTCCAACAGCATATTCTGGGATAGATTGATCCATCTTTACAAGATTTCTAAAAATACATCATCGTAAATACCTTAAAAACCGTTAATGAACAATTCAACGTTCCGTAATTAATATTTGGCATTGGGAAACTCGTCGATGTAACATGGAGGATAAGGTTCGTATCATTCTAGAGTGCAACAATTATTACCATTGTTAATTATCATCATTTTGAAAAACGGTATAATTACGTGCGTCAGTAGACATTTTCTGCTAAAATGATGACTTGAATAGAAATTATTGAAAGTACTGACCGAGAAATGTGAAACTGTAATGTGAAAATCAATGCTTAATGGACAAAAAGAAAATTCTCGTTAAGAAACCGTTAAGAGAATAAAGAGTACGTGTGTTTTGTTGGAAAAGAAAAATACTGTTATCAATGAAAAACGCAAAGATAAACGGGTAGAATGAAAAGGAAAATATAGCGTCAATGATGCGTTACGTCTGAATGGTTAGGAACAGTACTATTAATTATGGTGTAGTGCGCGGAACAATCGGGTTTCAGTGGTATTTAAAAAGAGAAAGGAAGAAAGAGAGAGAAGCGTAATGAGAGAGAAATGAATTTCTGCCATCAGGATAATTGAAAATCCAGTCGGCGAAAAGTCTCGACAATGCTGTCTACGGTGGCAGAGCGATCGCACAGTATACAGCGCGCAGTGCAGTATTTAAAGGAGAGAGAGAGAGGGGGGGAGAGAGAGAGAGAGAGAGAGAGAGTGAGAGAGAGAGAGAGAGAGAGAGAGAGAGAGAGAGAGTGCTGGCAGAAAAGCTGCAGAGTCGACTGGCGACGACTCGCGGGCGGGGGTGGCGCAGCAGCAGGTCATACAATGTGGCAGAGCAGCAGCAGTGGCGGCGGCGGCGAGAACTTGAGCTGAATTATCATTTGTGGGCTCGGGAAGGCTGACAGGCGCGCGGCGACGACGACGACGACGACGACGACGACGACAACGAAACGAGCAATGCAGTGCCGCGGAAATAAAAAGGGAAGCCGGGGCGGAGAGAAGAGTCCACACAGAGGCGAGAGGTTAATTCGAACGCGGGTAATTGCTTAACGCGCGTGTGTAGGCGCGAGGGAGGAGTACGGGCTTTCGCGCGTGAAAAGGGAGCTGAAAAAATGCGTTCGGAATTCCCGTGTGGTGCAGGTGCGCGCACGCCGGCGCTCGAAGCTGGGAAAGCTTGAGCTTGAGCCCGCAGTTGGGAGTCGCGCTAATTACGAGCCGGCGCTATTCATTGTCTAAACGAGCCTACCCTTCATTACCATCGGGGATTTAATGTTAATGGGCGTCGTTTTGCCGGCGCGCTTTACGCCCGCCCGAGCCATTATACTGGCCTATCGCTCTACCAGCTCCCTCAGCTCTGCCTCTTCCCCTCGCTAACTACACCCACTTCTCGCTAAATCTTTGCTGCAAACATTCATTGCCGCGCGCGCTAAACTCCTTTGCGCCACGCGCGACCGCATCGATCGGCTTTTTTCGGCTCTTTCGGCTCTTTCGGCTCTTGCGGCTCCACGTCCGCTGCCTAATCCCCTAACGCTGACTTATCAGCCCGTCCAAAGAGACGCCCTCGGCAGTCGATGGCATTCCGGTCTCGTGCTCGCTCGACGCTTCTCCTGCAGCAATCGGCGACGCGAAGAAACCTCCGTCGCAGGCAAAAGTCCCGTCAGTACTTTGTATGCACTTACCGTTTATTGTGCTTTACGCGCCGTAAAGATAATTTCATTCTCCGGGGAGATCTCGATATAGCTAAGCGCGCCTTTACCTCCCTCTCGGTCGTAGTGCTTTTCTCCAACGCTGCTTGCCTGCTCGCTGGCTTTCTGACTCATACGAATTTGATGGCGCGTTTCGTTGATAAGCGCAGTCGTTTCAAATCTCTCACGGCCCTCGCCTATACGTACTCGCGCTGAAATGTGCAACGTCCTCTTCGCTCGTTCGCTTGCTCGCAGTCTTACCTATAATAGACCGAGGCTTTCCTTGATAATTACACTTTTATACCTCTCGCGGGCTTTTCTACGCAGTCTCGCTTTCAAAAACCACTCGCTCGCATTTCTCCACCTTGCGCGGTTATGATATTTACGAGGCTAATATGCCGGGTTGGGTTGGGTTGGGCAGTCCCACCGACAGATTCGACGAGAGACGAATTAATTTTCCCTATCTCATCTGGCTCTCGACGCGCGTTTCAACGATTGCCGCGATACGTGTGCGTGCGGCTGTGCGGCTAAAGAGCGGACCAGTCGAGAGCTTACCCAGGAGGACGCGCTGCGAGGGAGAAGCAGAATTATTTATTGGATCGCGAACACATTTGACATAATGGGCCGGGTGTCGTCGGTGTCGCCGGTGTCGCCGGTGTCGCCGGAGACGCCGGCGTCGTCGCCTCGATAAATTCCTATAGCCATCGGCGCAGCGTCTCCGCGGCCGTCCGCGTGCCCCTTTCGCTCTCTCGAAGGTGGCTTAACCAAATAAAAGCCAGCGCCGGCAGCGGGAGGAGAGGGTCGGAGTCGGATGCAGGCGGCACCGCGGGGCCACATTGACGCATCCTTCGTCTATTCCCTTTTGTTCGCGCGCTAACGCTCCGCCGCCATCCGCGGCTAAAAGCCTTTTTGTGCGGAGGCGCGAGCTATAATGCGCCGAAGCTGCACGGCTATATAGCTATGCGCGTATATCGCGAGCCGCCCGCAAGAGATATGACTCGAATCTCCTCGCGGAACGAGAGGCGTCACGCTGCGCGAGCACCTACATAACGTGGCCTCAGCCGAGTTCAAGCCCAAGCAGGTAGCCACTTTAAAAGCTCATTTTTATTTGGATTCCCATTAAACCGACTAATTTATCGTCCCACTAGCCTGATTCTAAGCCAGGCGCGCACCGTTCGTTCTTTATTCATCGTGGCTTGATGCGCGAATTATCATCCGTCGTCCTGCAACACTCGCCCAGTCGCAAAACGCTAACGACTCGGGCGAAAAGTTAATGTGCAGTCGCTTTATGAATTCAGCAAATAATTTGGTCGCGGTCGTGACGCCCGCTCCCGGACAAAGCGCCCGGTTGCCGCGGGGATTGTCCTATTCCGACGCGTCCGCGTAATCCCTGCAGACGAGACAAACGGCACAACTCGAGCGCGACACCTCTGCTCGCTCGCGGTCGCCGCCTCGCGCACCTAGCGCTCGACCGATCGTGAATAAAGTATGGGGGGGCAAAAGTCTGTCCGTCCGCGACTCTATCTGCAATGTGTCAATGTTTCATGGAAACAACGCGCGGCGCACAATGCCAGTTAAACGCGTTTTCGAGGAGGGCTGGACACAATTGGATCGCCGACGCAAGCATTCGAGGCCAATGGGTGGGTCGACGTCGCCGCATCAAATATTCTCCGCGCTCGGAGCCACGCCTGAGGGCTAATGTGGCGCTAATTTGCTGCTGCCGCCGTGATCGAACGGCTCGGAATGCATTGTGCCTCCCGATTTCGTTTGCGCAGTGCATTCCTGGCGCGCCCTGGCCGCTCTCGTTGCAAATTTTCCGCAATAATGCGCGCATCGGCGGCTGGCGTCCGTTGCCGCTAAATTCTTGCCGATCGGTCGATCCACCGAGAAATACGAGCGCTTTCACGGTTCCTTCGAAAACCACCGTGACGGAATGCTGGATTAAATGCGATCGTGAAAGAGTGTTGAGCCCGGAAGGTGCTGAAAGACGAGAGTTGAAAAGAGCTGGCTGGGCGAGGGCATGTATAATAAGCAGCGTGAAAGGGAACCGTGGGCAGGGGAAGGGCTGGGGGTCGAGCAATCGAAACAACAGGTTGCGCGTATATAGAATACACTCACAGTGGCCGTGTGTTCGTGTTACAGTGAAACCGAGGAAGCCGCAGCTGGAGTACGCTGGGGCGCTGCTGACCACGGCGTTGACTCTTCGCGAGGGGCAGGAAGCAATGATATCCTGTGTGTCGAGATACGGCAACCCGCCGGCCCTCATCAAATGGTAATTATCCCATCCACGACAAATCCATCGGCATTTTCCTTTTTTTCCTTCCGATTCCCCGCAGCTCGCTTCGCCGACCAAACAAACGCACCGTTGCGACGCTGCTTTCGGAAGATCTGTTTAACGGCTGGTGCTGTACTTTTATCGGTTTATGGCTTGATTTTCTTGATAGCGTGCTCTCGGTCTGGCGCTGTTGCACGCCCGATGGTGGAACGCAGTCCACTCAAAATTCCCGGTTTTACGTGAAAATCGCGGCTTCTTCTGTTCTTCTAGTTTTTCTTCTTTGCTTTGCCGCTTCGCCGTCATAAATCACCGGCTGTTTTGTCCCGAGCAAACGTTCCTTCAGCGCTCCGTCGTATCAGCTTTATTTGGTACTAATTGCGCCGTGCCGCGGGCCGAGAGCACGTGTATGCCTTTTACGAGTGGGCCAGCTGTCGGCGGAAAACCGAATCTCGAGTTCTCTTCGCGTCTGCTTGAATGCGCGTCCCAGTCCTTTGTGCGACTCAACGCGTCGTACCTGCGATCGCTGTTCGTTCTACGTTGCCGAATGTGCGCGCCCTGCGTGTGTATGCGTCTGCGAGTCTATCGCAAATTATGCTCTCGGATAGGGCACGACTAATTTCGCTATCGCGTCTATAATCAGCTTGTGGTGCCGCTTATCCCCTTCTCTCCTTCAACGAACCACTCACCGTGCTCTCAACCTTTCTTTGCTCGTCCCGTCAACTTATTGCTCATATTTTACTTAACACCAGCTTATTTTTTTGCCGACTCGTATTAGCGCATTCGAAGCATATGTGTTTATTTCATTGCTCGACGGCGAAACGTATATGTCAATTAGCTTTGATATGCAGATCGAAACGTGCATTAAAATTATTACGATCTGGTTATTAGTCGTATAATTACGCTGTTCTATTATGTTTACGTATAATATAACATTAACCAATGCGTGGTCTTATTGAAAGCTCACATGTATTAATAATTATGCATCTCGATTAATTAATTTTTTAACATGTTCGGGAAACAGATTCTTATCTAGTGTGAGGTTTTCGCATGGCGCGTTGAAAGATTAATTAATTGACAGCACATAGAATTATTAAAACGTGAAATGTGTTGCTGTAATATATGCTTTTAGAAAATTTATTTCCTCTTAGAAACTAAGCGGCTGAAAATATATAGTGAAAATGTTTGTATACACTAAAATATGTTAATTTACATGAAGAAAACCTTCTCGTCTTACCGGTATGCCCTCTTGACACTCTCAAGAAATATCAATAATAAAGTACCGAGTATTTTTAGGCTTCTGCAAGACTCGCAGCTCGAGACTTGGAGCTCCAAGTCGACTCGAGACCCGGAGCTTTCAACTTTTTCGAGCCTTTCAAACTTTTTCAACTTTTCTGAGAGACGGTAACATAATTTTAATTTTAACTCGGTAAGAGCTGATCTAATTGTATGATGAGCTCGAAAACTCGAATGTTCAGTAGATTTGAATGTTGAATCATTACAATTTTTATAGACCATGTGCGTGAATTATCTCGCCGGTTCGGAGGTTTCAACTGCTCTAAGGCTTTACAGAAGCTTAGGGTTCTTATAACAACAAGAAGTCAAGGATCGCTAATGTTAAACATCCTTATCATTTATTCTCGAGGAAGAGTCTGATGAATTTCTTGTAGGTATCTCAGACTACGACGAAATTGTATCTTATACATGTAAAATCCTGCATTCATTTTAATGAACATCTTACAAAGTAATTGTAAATTAATATACACTAAACTGACACATATACAACCAACAGACATTAAATTTTATGTCAGTGGTTGCATTTATTGTCTGGCTTATGCGCGCAAAGTCCCATTATCGTTTAGCCACATCGATTTATCAAATAAGCTTGTTCATTTCCAATAAAGTATTAAAACATCAATACATCAACACATTAATACGTAGTTTATTTATTTAGGTTGGTAGACTGGCGACGCGTACTTTTTCTCTCCGCAACGCTGTCAAATTCACGATAGCTGACAAAAAAGAAATCTTCTAACCCAGTGATTCGCAAAGCCTGATCGAGGCAGAAAACAAACACTCTCATTGTCGCCAAACGAAAAAAGCGGGAGGTAGAAAAAAAAATCTGCAAAAAGGCACAAGCGTCGATCGATTAATTCCGCTCTCCTTTCCCATCCGTCAGTGATGAGCAAGATCGAGCGTATAGGCAAAGCGAAAAAAGAGAGATAGAGAGGGAGAGAGAAGAAGCGAATGGAACGTTGGAGCAAACGAAGCTTTAAAATGGACTTGGGCACAGTGAGCGGACAGCAGAGAGATAGCGTGCGGGAGAGGAGTAGGGGGAGCGCGAAACGGAGGACATTGCGACTAAGAGGATGTCGTAGCAAATAATAAACTCTAAGTATTGTTGATCCCATTGTATTAAAGAAATTTCAGTTTCTTTACTAGGAATGGCCGCAATCATTGAATAAAAGCGAATATCAGTGATTAAAAAAATGACAGAGCGCAGAGACCTCCCAACAAAGGCGGATCGTAGATTGAACTATTGTCGCTGAACACTTGGTTGTTGAGGAAACTGAAGGACATCCCAGGTAGAGCGAGATCGAAAGGGCGCCCGCGACTCGTCGTTGGGTAAACTGCGACCGATCGATGGAAACGGTTTGTCCCTAAGTGTAAATTTGCTAGGACGTCCCCTCGAGCGCGGGCGCGCGGCTCCGATTATCCGTCGGTGGAAGCTGGCGTCGCTCAACGTATGCAAGGCACGGAAAGGTGAGCAGGCGCGTGCACGCGCGGCCGAGTGGAAGCGCGAGCCTGGAGATCAGTTGTTCGTGAAATATCCTCGGTTAGCCGTGTATCATCGATCACGCGAGGAGAAGGAGGAGGATAAACGAGCCGGCGCGCGCGTGCGCCCGGCTCCATTAGAGAGATGCTGATTGCAGGCGGGCGCACCGGAGCGACGGCCGGAGCGACGGGAGGCCAGGGGCAAAACAATCGGCAAAAGTCGGGCTCAATTAGTCCCGTAATTAAGCCAAGACCACCGTACGGGCATAATAGTTTTCACCAAAACTGCCGCCCGTAACTCATTCCGCTGGCCGGCTCGCTCGCTGCAAAAGAGAGCAAAGGCTCTCACGGGCGGCGGCGGCGGCGAGACTCGGCGCGCTCGCTCCAAATGAAAATAATGACTCTCGATGGACGTACGCGGCCGTCGAGCGTAATTTTCCTCGTGTGCAGCCCGACGAGAGAGAGGCTAGCGATTGCCGAGCTCGCCTGCTTGTCCCGTACCCCATACTCACAAACCGTAAGAGAGCGAGCAAGGGGCCGGAACGTCGCCTTTGTGCAGCAGCAGCAGCAGCAGCAGCAGCAGCAGCAACGGGGCACTGCTCGAGTTTGACTTTTCTCTTGGTCGCTATAGAGCCTCTTAGTTTCACGGTCTGCCGGCTCTGACCGCGCCTTATCTAAGCTCGCCTTAGAGAATAATTGAGCAGCCAGTCCCGACTTTAACGAGCGACGGACAGTGGCGCTGCTTCATTCGAGTCAATATATCGAATGAATTAAACGTCGCGAGCAGTCCCTCGCAGATAGTCTCGCTGCCGCTGTCATTATGCACCGGCGAGTCGCGCCGCTTTCTTGCCTCGCAACGCTTCGCCTCGCTCGCTCCGTCTCTTCTCATTCTTATCGCCGACGCGCGTGGACCCTCTCCTCTGCGCTCCTCTCTTTTCTGTCCTTGTAAATGCTTACCTCTCCTGAATTTGTTCCGTCGAGCGCGAGAACTGATGAATGGCTTTTGTTGCATTGTTATAGCCGGCCGACGGCAAAAAGTTACGACAAAAACCCGAGAAAAAAGAAAAACCTGTAATTTTCGGGCTGACAAGCCGCAGACTCGCGTCAAATTTTTAAATTACAATGGCGCGCCTTTTTCGGCGATTATTCCGCCCGCCACGTACATTTTTACGTAGCTATGTATATGCATTCATCTGTGGGCCTCGGGCGATTTGTCGCCGGCGACAGTTTGGTCTATTATCTCGCGCCGCTCGCTTCGCCTCTATGCTTAGCGCGTCCAGTCTTCTTCGAATAATCCTTTTATTAAAAGTCAATACGTCGAAAGACCTTTGAAAAATTGCGCAATACGCATCGTGTAATTACTACGTCGGCCCGAAATTTCCATCCATACAAGCATGGAAAACGCTTTATTTTGGATAAATCGATGCGTCGAGGCCGGATATAATTGTGAAAAAGCGCCGAGTACACGCAACAAACAAATATGCAAGAATTGATGTCAAATATACACAGATGGGTCGCGAGTATGTAGATATTTATTTAATAAAATTCAATGCCGAGGTAACAAATATTTTGGATTAATTGAAAAAAAAAAAAAATCCCAACTGCAGAATTTATGAATTTATTATCGTGTATTTCCATTGGATTCGTTAGCCCAGAGCAGACAAATCAACGTGGGCGCAGAAACACACGGCGAAGCGGTGCAATTACGAATTAATTAAGAAATAATTAAAAAAATAGAGGAGGAGCTTGGGCGGCGGGGGAGAAACGCGTAATGCAAGGCATTTTCATTGAAAAAGTGGTTGAATGCCGCGTGTCTGTCTATTCATTTTTCCCGGCCGAAGCTCATTTTCTCGCGCGGCTTTCACGATATAGCCCATTCAATCCGCGGCCTGTAGATTTTTATCCCGCAGAGCGCGAGGCAGACGGCAGACTCGTGTGTGGGCGCGCTCCCCTTTGCTCTCCTCTGCCGCGTGTCGCGCTGGCACGGCGCTGCAATGTCGTGTATTATGCGCGCTTGCCGAGAGACAGCCCAGCCCATTTTCGCTGGGATTCCTATTTAGTTCCGGCAGAGGATTATATCCCGCGTATCCTCTCGTGAGTTCAGTCGAGCGTCCGCCGCTCCCCTCCCGCTCGCGCTCGGGCGCTCGGTCGTGCAGTCGTAATTGGTCGCGCGCGGCCCGCTGCCTTTTTCCCGCACTTTTATTTGCCCCGCTCGTTTGGCCGCGTCGCCGTATTCCGACTCGTTCGAAGCGCTTCTGCAATTTCGATGCTTATGCTTTGGTAATCTTCTCACTTTCTTGCTCGCCAGCCGGCGCTCGCCGCTTTGCGCCTCTCCTTTTGCTTCTCCGCCGTAGCTCTTCTCGCTCGCCTCTTCTTATTCCGCGGTGTGCTGCGCTTTCTCGCTGCGAGAATGCAGACCGATTCGCCAAAATTTTTTGCTTGCCTACGCCCCGAGGGCACAATGTCTTTTTATCGCGACCGGCTAATACAGCTTTTCTCATTTGTCCTCTCGAGAGCCGCCGGAGTAAAATCCCGGCTGCGCTGCTGTTACACAACTTAATTGGCTATTTTACTTGTTTCCCCTGCTGCTGCCCCCTCCAGCCACTCCGAGAACACTCATTTGCATTGTGTTTGCCAAGTTTTCGGGCGGCACTTTCGCGACCAAACCGGTAAAGCTCCTTGTTTACGTTGCAGGTTCATAGGGGACGAGGAGGTGCAGCCCATGCGAGAGCAAACTAATGCCACCGAAGTCGATAATCCAAAAACTTGGGCGGCTCACAGTCAGCTTCGAGTTCGTGGTAACCGAGATAATCACAATAAACCCATAAAGTGCTTGACGATGCATCCGGCGAGCCCGCTCAGCGAGCTCACCGAGTCCAGATTCGACATTCACTGTGAGTATTAACCCCTTATGTTAATTGCTTTGCATTAATCACCAACGATTCCTATCCCGACCAAGCAACTTCATTTTCACCTCGTTATCCAAAATAGGATTTCCCTTCTGAGCTCATGCAATATGCCAGGACACCTCTGACCTGCCAATCTTTCAATATTTTACAACATCTCTTGTTAGAATTTCAACGTTCGTTTCAAAAAATCATTTCGCTCTGTTTCTTTTGTCATTTTCCTTTCCCTTCGCCTTTATTATTTGATTACCCGGTTGATTTAATAAGTACGCGTAACCAATACGGTATATGTCCGTAAGTTCAATTCATGCTCACTGTAACGCTACGGCATTACGTTCGCGTTATCAAGCACTGGCGGTTCCATACATTTAAATCATCCTCGAAGGCGATATCTGTTTTGCAGTCACTTCGGCTAAAGTCTAAATATACAAATGCAGTAAACCGATCGATTCGTATTCTTTTACTCTTCTAAAAGCCCTCAGCGTTTATTTTCTAACGCGTGAATTAGCTAAATAAAAATCAGCTGTCAAAATTCACTACTGAGTGTAACATCCGGAAGAGTCTTTTGGTTTCTGTTGCCTTGCACTCACGAGATGGAGTCGCTCGAAAGTTACACGATTGCAATTGTTAGAAGCACAAATTACGCTTCGAGTATTCTATTGCGATGTTTAGTATTTTCAAAACTTCATAAATAACGTCCTCAAAAGGGTATGTAGTAGTTGAAAATCTTTATTTTTTGTACACTACTTAGTTACTAGTAATTCATATTATAAGAAAGCAGTATGAAAGCGCATATAAACAAATAAACACATTTTCGTGCATACCCGATATGAAGCTGTACCAAACATGAATTATTTATAAATATCACAGTAATGGTCAGTTTTATGTTCCAGTTTCAAGTATTTCAAGTATTCAAAGAAGAATGTGTAGTCAAAGAGAAAACCTGATGGTTATTCAAAATAAATTTTGTTATTCCAGTGATAAAAGTTAAAATATTGAACTCTGTTTTACTTCGCAAAACGAGTGTTTGTACGTAACGTGATATTGCCGCATAATAGCACTGTAGCTGAGCTTTTCGTACCGAAACTACGAAAAGTATCAATATCATAACTTATTTATAAGCGTTACACAAAATTCAGATACGTAAAAACGCCTATACCCGAAGAAAGGACGGTTAATATCGGCTCCTTTAAAGATGCCTTTAGAAGCATTGAAATAAGGTGCCGTACATTGAAAATGGTTAGTTAAACGGTAAAGTAGTTTGCGCACTGCAGTCCCATGTGGGATTCATCTACCTTGTTCAAATCTGAAATTAAACGCGAGCATTAAGATAGGCCCAGGTGCAGCGCCAAGTATTTCACGTTAGTTACGAAAACGTTAAATATGATGAGGAAAAAAAGAACGTTTGTCAAGATGGTTTCGATATTTCGGACCTAATGATAAATGAATTGGGAGCAATCTGGAAAGATTCGTTTAAGATTGAGGTCAATTCCGATAGAATCGGTTGAGCTATGTTAAAAATGTTGAAGTAATCAGGTCGAATATAGAACCTTCTCCTTGTCGAAGTCGGCAATGACGAATGAACATGAGTGGATATAAACTGCCAAACGAAATGCGTATGGAATGCGGTGGTGAAAGTACGAGGACGTATTTGCAGATTCGCCGGAGGTGAAAATGGAGACTAGCCCGCGGATGTTGGTTTCGGGACTAGAGGACTCGGCGAGCTTTGTGAGCCTGCGCTGCACCGCCGACTCGAACCCGCCAGCGACGATCAAATGGTACAAGGACTCGTCGCCGATAATGATGTCGTCGTCGGGCGACAGGCTGCTGCCGTCCGGGGCGCTGTACAACCGGAGCCTGGTGAACGGCAGCTTCGTCGAGTCGGAGGTACGCTTCGAGCCCATCAAGCGCGAGGACCAGGGCCTCTACAGTTGCCGAGCCGTCAACGTCATTGGCGAGAGCGCGCCGGCCAGCTACAGGCTCGACGTCGAGTGTAAGTACAAACGAACCGCCAGGGGACTTTGTCTCTTTGTCTTGCGTACGTCGACTGTGTCTCCGCGGTCGCTGTCGCCGCGCCGCGCCGACTCTCTTAATCTCCTTATTCATTATTCAACGCAAAGCCGGCCCGTCATTGCCGTCTATACGAATCTTTTATTTCCACTGGCGCTGTTAGCCTGATCAGCTATACGCGCGTCTCTCCCACGCTCTCAACCCGTCCTCTCCGCGGTGCTCCTCTCGTTTTGTCTTCCGATCGAATTCCCTCTCTCTCGATTGATCCTATTTCGACATTTTCTTTATTGCACCATTTGTACGCGCGAATCAATTTTACAGCGGATTCGCCTTCATACGTTGTTATTTGGAAAAGATCACCATCTTTTGTGTCCCAGAGATGACCAGTGTCTTCAATTATAACAATTACAATTGGACGACCTCTTACTCAGCTGTTCATTACTAATGTATTGCGTATACAACTTAGTATACAAATTACAAAATAATAATTACTGTAGGTTTAGAAGGTGACAGGACAGTTGGTGCTTAATGAATTCTCGATATTGCATTATTAATACGGATTAATTTTACAGCGTAAAGATACGTATCAATAAAATCTAATTATACCATATTTTAATACGTCTTGAGCTTTCTAGAACAGTTAATTGATTGTCATTTTCATCAACTCTATCTACTTTAATATCAAAAGTTTAAAACTGTCATTTTGACGAAAAACGAGGTAGGGAAAAGGGGGCACCTTTCTTTTCATGAATATTGTTTTCATCTTATTTTAAATGAATTGAATACATAAATTAATGTACATTGATTGTTTTTAAGCTTGTTTTTAGTAATTGGTGAGGAATAATCACGTCACTAAGCTATGAAAAATATCCTCAGGCTGACGACAGCGTACGTAAACAGAGAAAGTCGTCGTAGCTCTAGAGCGATTTCAAGTCTTAAATCAATAGATTTTTTTAAAAGAAACAAGCATCCGTTATCAAAATTTGGTTCGCTTGTGTCTGTTTGAAGTTATTGTTGATTTTTAATAGGTGCCCCGCTCTGCCCGGTTAGTTGATTTTCAAAAATTCGAAAGCTGTTACCCTTGTAATTAAAGGCTTTGATAACGAGTTTATTAAATTAAAAAATTTTAAGCCAGACATTTGGATATTGGATTTTTCAAGATGAATAAGAGTGCCTCGTCAGGATTTGAATTGGACGTGTCTGAATGAAGTTATCACTGTTAAGCCCTTAGGTACTTCACTTTGCCCGAATGTCCCCTAAATGTACAGCATACAGTCACGTGTACAAACCGAAAAACATTTTTGCTGAATTTTTTTCTCCACCGCGTAGCTGTTTCAATGAAAGAATGATCATTACGTGACAGAAGCTATTCTATATAATATTTGAAATCCAGGCTTCAAGTTTTCTTGAATGAAAGTTTCTTCTTATCAGAGCACATATTGTCGTATAATTATTATAATCACTTGTGGGTTATAATGAGAACGTCGCGTGTTCGCTTGCAACATGATATCCTGTTCTTTACTTCGAGCATGCTGTATATGTTGACGGCGCGAGCGCGCTAAAAATTATAAAGCTGCGAGTGCAAATTCGCTTGCTAATCGCAATCAGCTTTTGCAAATGTGTTAACCATAAGAACCGGTACATTTCATGGGCTTTTATGAGTCTAGATATAGAGCATTGTCATCAAACATTAGATATTACATCAGAGCATAAACACGTAGCTTTAATTTTTAACCCTTCCAGTCACGCAATTAACGCGGTAGTTTAATTTTCAATTTGATATACTACTTTAGATTTTTTGCGTTGATGATTACGAATTTAAAGACAGATTTTTTAAATTCAAAAAGCCAAATCCAATATGATAGACGAGAAATTGACAAAAAACATATTTTTATAGTTATTTCGCCATATTGGATTTGCTGTATTGAATTTCACCCATCAAATGAGGTTTTTATATTGAATAGCATACAAATTAACTTTTTCTTATTTTTCATAATTACGGTTGCCATATTGGCTAGCCATTATCTGTTTTTGTGAATACAATGACGGTAATTTCATGTTGAATAATGAAATTGCGCCAACAACGAATTAAATCCACAAAAACACTTTTTTTCTGCGTCCATTTGTTTGTAACAGTAATGAATTTTCATAATTCATACAATATCTTGATCACACTATAGAATAAGTATTTCACCAACTAAAATATTTTTTGAAATTCCCGTTTTATGCGTAACTCGGAAAATTTAATGATAAAAAAAGGAAATAAAAAAGTAGACACTATAATGGCTCCTTTGAGTATCGATTTCATCTTCGTGTTGAAAGTATAGAATAATTAGTTTTTTATTTGATAATCTATCGATATGTTACGGTTAGAGCTCCTAATTGACTAATTCAAGGTACAGCCTGCATAAGTGCTACACTAAATCGTTAAAACTGAATTTTATCCATTCGATATTGTAACCGCATTACTATTAGCTATTCTCCTTTGCATCTGCAACGTTCAAAATAACGGGCGGGCTTTGTCAAATTTATCGTCGTATAAACGGTGGCTATAGCAACAAGAGAAAATAAGCAACGAAGGAAATTTATAAAGAGAATCTCAATATAAGTTAAAGATTTGACATATGCGTGCGCGTGTGCACCACAGATGGACCAAAACCACGCTCTCTAGATTCGTCGCAGCCGCTAGACAGGCCCCTAGACGAGATCGAGGAGACAACGGGTTTGGGCTCGAACATCGAGCCATTCGAGTGTCCGGAGTTCGAGGCCAATCCACCAGCGCACTATCGTTGGCTGCACCAACGCGGCGGCACTACTGACACCATCGACAATCGCAACAGCGAAAACGGCCCCGACGGGGGTCGCCGCTTACGACTGGAAAATGTCGGCTGGGCAGACGAGGGCGAGTACCGCTGCGTTGCCTACAACGTCATCAATGGGGTTGGTATTCAGACTTTGAGGTACAGCAAATATGCAAGTCGTAATACGAATTGAGCAAAGAATTCTGTGGCTCGGCAAATACGAATGTGAATAACGCATAATCTCGCGTGGTCTCTTTCAACGAATACTGCAATGCGCGCTAAACTCTATCTGTGTGGCGCAGTTGCGACTCGTATAAGTGGAGAATACGATGAGCTTGGTGTGCGTAGTAACCCAATAACCCAAGGCACGAATAATAAATGGACGACGATTGGAAACAGGTGCGTCGCGAGATGCCGAGCGACGTGCGCTTCGTGTTGCACGTGATCGGACCGCCCGAAATCCAAGCGAGACCCCACGGCTCAGGCGCGGAGCGAGGACCAGACGGCGTGCACGAGTCGGTCGGCTGGGCCGGCGAGCCGGTGCATCGTCTCAAGTCGAGATTCTGCTCGCGGCCACCGCCGCGCATCGTCGCTTGGCAGTGGGGCAGCTCCCACATACGAGCAGGTCAGTGTGCGCACTCTCTAATTCGCCTTTCCCCGTCTCCGACACCCAGCTGCTCGACGGCCTTTCTCCGGGCTCTCTCCGGCCGGGCCCTGACGATCGATTGACTCGTTCATCCCGACGTCCAACTACAAGCTCCGCCGGCAATATCTGTCGGCTTGTCTCGGTCAGCCCGTCGCACGCATCGCCCGAGCGACGTTCGCGTGATAATTTCATTATGCTCCCTTCGGCCGTAGTTGTTCTTTCCGTTGTGCCCTCTGCGCGCGAGCTGTCAGCGCCGACAGCTTACACGGCCTAGAACGCGCACTTTCACGCTCGCGCGAGAAAGTTCGATGAGGCGAAGAGTCAGTTTGTCCCACGTATGTACTTACTGGCCGCTGGCGGCACGCCGGACAAGCTAGACCCTATTGTACAAGTTGTTGCTCGGCTGGGGAAAAAAGCAGCGCGCGCGCGTGCTCCTGATAAATAGTATTCGATTTATCGTTAATGCCGTACATACAGATTGGCAATTAGACTCGGCCACGGCACGGCTCGCCTTGGGCCAACTTGTCCTTGATATATCTATCTGTAGCAAGCGTGAGAAAGCTGCACAGATCGAATGGCGCGTGTGTGTGCTATGCGCGAAATGTCTGTCTTGTATTACGACAATGCAACCACTCTGGCATTTACGAATTTATAACGCGAAAGTAGACCGCGCCTTTTTATTTTTCATTGTTTCAACAATTTATGAGCATTGTCGTCGGGCATTACAGCTTTGGCATAATAAAGATAGCGCTGACCATTTTCTTTTTCGTTGTGCCACAAGAGCCGCGTTTACCAAAGCAGCTTACTTTGCTACCGCGCTCTAACAAATCGCCTCGATTATTCCCGATTAATTCACTCATCGAGCATACTACGTAGCTGATGAAACATTGCCGTAGCCAGCATTGAAATTTCATAATCAAACTCAAGGATGCTCCGGAAACGTCCGAATTCGGACAATGGCATTGCGCTGATTTCTTTGTCCAAAAGTCGTCGGGCATTGTACGTTGAAAGTTTTATTCGCTCGCTCGGGGACGTTCGGGGATGTTCGGGGATCGACGATGGACCCGAAAGCGGATTATCGATCGATTTAACGGATTTGTACGGGCGATGCAGGTGAAAGCATAAGCCCGAAGTACGAGGCGCTACCCCTGGAGCCGATAATCGAGAACAAGATGGTGAGCAACTGCTATTGGGCGAAGCTGGAGATCCGGGAGCTGCAGCGCGAGGACGCGCGCAAGTACACGCTGGTGGTGGAGAGTGACAAGGGCCGCGACTCGACGGACATCCGGCTGGTGGTGCGCGACCCCAGCGAGCTGCGGATCATCGCGGCCGCGGGCGCGGTCGGCCTGCTGGTGCTGCTGCTGCTGTTCGCCCTGGGCGTTTACTCGCTGATGCGCTCCCGGCGCAAGCACCGCGAGTACCGCCACGAGGAGGAGGAGGGCAGCATCTCCGCCGAGACCTACTACGGCGCCTCCCAGCAGTCCCAGCAGTCCCAGAACGGCACCTCGGCAGCCGCCAGCCAGCCGCAGCCGCAGCCCACCAAGCCCACCACCATCGACCGCAACGGACAGCTCAAGGCGGCCCTGCACCAGCAGCAGATGGTGCGTATACGCGATTAACTCGGTCGGCCGTTTGCGACCGCTGTGGAAACGCGTCAGCTGTGCCGTCCAACCGATCATCGGTCACGGCCTCGGCGAGCTAGCGAGAAATCCAAGCAGCGCGCACGCCCGTCAATGTGACCGGCACTGTGTTTCAGCAACAGCAGCAGCAGCAGCAACAACACCAGCAGCACCAGCAGCAGCAGCAGCAGTACCAGCATCAGCAAGTGCATCAGCAGCTGCAGCAGTACCACCAACAGCAGCAGCAGCAGCAGCAGCAGCAGAATTGCGGTCCGAAGGGCGCAATGATGGGCGGCGTTTACGGCAGGAAGCCGAGCATCGAGGGGGGCCTGGCCGTGATGTACGACTACGATCAGATCGCCTGCAAGTCGAGGGCGGCCATGAGCCCGGAGGCGCTGAAAGTGCGCCGCGCGCCGGCTGTGCTGCAGCCGCCGACGATCGTCTAGCACACATCTCATCGATACGACGAGGGCCGATTCGCCGTTTTCTACGGCAAGGAACAGCCCGAGCTGCCCCCTAGTCCCCCCTTCGACTCGATGGCATTCCGCGATTAGTGGCTCCGCGCTGCTCGCCCGACAAGCTTTATCGCTCTCTCTCCATCGCGCGGCACGCACCCCCGCGCGCCCGAGCTGCCTGGCTCTCGCTTTCGCTCTCGTTCTCGCTCTCGTTCTCGTTTTTCTCCGACGCGGCGTGAAAAAGCGTTTTCGTGTTGCTCTCTCCGGCGGCTATTACCTATTTATCGGGCCTCTACGCTCGCCGCACTGCCGCCGCCACTTTCGCCCTCGCAGCCCTACTTTTGCGCGGCCAATCGAGCTTTCTCGTCGCCAATCAATTCTCGCTCACCTGCTCTTCTCGCCTTGTATTCTTGTACATATAGCCGTTCCTCCAGTCCGCGACAGATTTCATTTTGCGCACGGGTGTCCCACCGCGGCTAGGTTCTCTCTCCGAATCACGACCGCCTGAGCCTCGGCACTGATTGCGTTGCCGATTTTTATTTCACGTCCCTTTGCGCGACAGCGCCTTGCCTTCTTGCAACTGCCATGACTTTTCCTTCGTACTTTACGCACTTGCCGCCGTGCATGTTATACCGACAGTGGCGCTGAATACCAACTACTGCATGACCAATTCTTTCTTGCTGAAACAGCCTTTGTTTCAAAAAAGACTGTTACCCTCGAACACGAAAAAAGACTTCTTTACTCAACGTCAAGTTTCGCTTCTGTGACAACAAACTGAAAACCATTGTTCAACAATCTCTCTTACGGGCGCTTCGACGCGCGAGACTGGAATACATAAGCGCATCCTGTCTGACAAAAGTCCGCGCAGACTTTCTTTTTATGTCACTCCTCATCGAGATTCAAGCCCCGTTTTTCAAAAATTTAGATCCTACTCTATTCTCGAAAAACTTGTACAACAGTCATTGTTATTCTTCAGACGCGAGAAAATAACATTTGCATTTTGACGTTCTTTAATTTTTATTCTTCAGACATTATCTCGTTCAACATTTTCATTGTTTCCATTTTACATTCCATTTATTTATTGTAATCCGAGCTACGAAGAAATGTTACGTATTGAAACATTTAGTATTTGTTTGTTCCTTTTTTTTACAATAATTTACAATTATGCTATTATACCCTGAAAGTAGTTCTGTTGAGAAAAAAAAGATGATCCATTGTTTATACAATACATATCTACGTGAAATGTTTTTCAATTGTTGATATTTATACAGTTTAAATCAAAGTAAAATTATTACTTTACCAAAACCCTTTTATTACCTCTTAAGCTTTATAAATTTATTTAATTCATCGGTCGTTGAAAAGTCAACAAAGAATTTTTAGTTCTATTACATTTAGCTTATGTGCATAATTTTTTAACGAAAGGATTTGTAAGAAAAAAATTAATATTTGCTACTGTGTACAATTTTAATTTTTAGCAGATAAGAACAACACACCTTCCAAAGATGTAGTTAATATAAATTTAAGGTGATGATAGAAATTAAGACTCATTCATAAACTAATTACAATTTCTTATTATTTGATTAGATGAGCGACTAATTTTAAGTATTACTATTCTGTAAGAATATGTATTTTTCTTAAATATAGTTGAGAATAAATTAGTTTCATGTAAGTACTTAACAAGTTGATAAAAATAGGTAATTTATAAAACATGCTGCGAGAAATGTAAGCTTGCAGGAAATAAACCAGATTTCAATATTATTTATTCAGACATTGTTGTATTTTTGACTGATATCTAAAATAAAACAGTATCAATAAAAGAACTTGTTTGTGTCTTTGTACATTGTTACTTAAGTAATTATTAATAAACTTATATTTTAAATCAGACACTTTTGAATACCTAATCATCCTCCGTTATATTAAATTATTGTCTGATTAGAAATAAACTTTTACGTTTTAGAATTTCACACATCAATAAGATGTTCATCGTCATTGATTATTAAATTTGACAATCGGATTGATATATACAAGGATAATATAATTTTATATATGTTCACCCACGCTTCGCTCGGGTTTAATTAAACGTCTCGACGAGAATCGGATTACTTTCTTGCACTTTAGTATCGAAATGTATTATATTTCTGCTAGTTGCACTATAGTATATCGACGAGACATTTCTTTTTTCTTGAAATTAATTTTTTCAAAACTATTCTCTATTAATAACATATTTTTATGCGAAAAACGGCACTATCTACAATCTACATGTGGATTATACAATATGAGAGGAACGTATAGTTTGTCTTTGTCGCTGTATGAGGCACCTATGAGGGTCGTTCTTAATATTGATGAATTCAGATTGATTTCGCAAGAGAAATATTTATTATTGCTATTTATCAAAATTTGCATGTATCTATTAAATAGATCGCACATTAATTGTTATATGATTCTTTCAAAATATTTAAAATTTGTCGCCACTGCTATCCCAGTCTATATATAATTAGTTAATCAATATTAGTTAATAATAATAATAATAATAATAATAATAGTACGAATTTATTTACAGAACTTTATTACGGAGGTTTTATTGGCTTTAAAAAATTTATTACCAGATCGCGTAAAATTGTATATCAAGTTTTTATTAGCAGTGTAAGACTATATCACCATTAGGTCGCGTATAAATCTAAAATGACAGTACGACTACCATCTAACAGATAAACTAGGAACTGAAAAAAAGTTGCCGTTGCTATCATCTTCGTTCCGTTGTCGGACGTCGACATTGTGCCGACGCCATGTGATGTGTCGAAAGCAGTGAAACAACTTTGCAACGTTTCGGATTCGGACGTCATTGACGATTGACAACATGATTAATTGATAAATGTTCAATTTTTCAATATACATCTGAAATTAGTCTTTTTTTAGTGAATTTATTGTGCCTGTAATTTTATTCACATAGTAAGATACAACATGACTTATTTAGATTCGTGGGAAGAATTCGAAAAGTGTGCTGAGAGGTTATACTTACAAGATCCAATGAAAGTAAATATTGATAAAATAAATTTAATTATAATTAAACTAAATCTTTTTTTACGAGAAATTGTGATATATCTAGGCACGATATACCATGAAGTACTGCCATCAAAAAGGGGTTCTTTATCTAAAGTTTACTGATGATAAAACGGTGAGAAATACTTTTATATTCTATATTAAATTTTATAATTAACGAAAATGTTAAGAATCTTCAAACAATTACTTTACAAAATTTATTTCATAAATAATTTTTTTTTCACAATCCGATTTTCTAAATAATTGACTAAAGTGTAATTACAATTGTACATGCAATTATTTATAAATATAGGCTTATAGAACTGTATTTATAAAAATAACTTTAAAGATTAAATAATAACAGCAAATTTATTGTAGTGTCTGCAATACAAAACTGAAATTGCCCAAGACATCAAGAAAATGGAGAAGTTTATTAAGAATTTGATGCGACATATGGCTTCAAAAGACAACTGAGCTAGTTGTGAAAATACTTGAAGGACATAACGTTTATCAAATTTTTGTGCAATGGAAAGATATACTTAGTGTCCCAGCCCTTTTATATACAAAAAGTGTAAAAATTACACTTTATTAAATCATGCACGGTGTACATTTAAAATACCAATCAGGAAGCTATCTTTCATCAATACAACACTGAAATGGATTTAGCCCTGATGATGCACTACTATGTGCAAGAAATCATATGACGAATGAACATTCTGTTTTGTAACTATTGAATTTTTGCATACTTTAAATACCATTAATACTTAAGAACAAGATCAAGATTTTTATTATTAATATCAACTGATTCCTACAATTTTTTTATTAGAATTTATTTCTTATTGAAAAATAGTTTTTTTTACTAAACTTGACTGATAATTTATGCAATATAGGAAAATTGTAGTGGGGAAGACAGTCATTACTATAGCTGATACTCAAAATCAGTATCTCAATATCTCTAGTCGAACGTTGCACTAATTTTGTACATAACTTTTACTCTAATGTTGGACACAGTATTAATTTAACAATGTGGTTTTTATCATTGATAGATTCAAGCGACATATGATTTTTATTCCCTGAAGTGGCTGATAACATATTAAGCAAAACATTGAAAGAATTACAAAGTGGTTGATTTATCTAAAGGTTGATCTTCGCTAATTCCCATTGCCATTTTCCTTTAATGTATAAACACATGATAGAAGGTAGTAACAATAATATTGATTAATAATTATTTATAATGAATCAATATAAGTTTTCTTTAACTACATCAAGTAATACTGCAATTATATAAAAGAATTGAATGATAAACTGTGATAACGAAATAATTCATAAATAATAAGCGGAAAAAGATTTTGAAACATTATTGAAAATTTACAAAAAAAAATTTATACAAGCTTCAATAGCTTTTTCAGCGTACACTTTTTTACAGAACAAATCTTGTTCTATAGTCTCTATATAATAGGTTTTGAAATCAATTAATAATTATACAATACTGAGGGCTTATAAATTTTTATTATGATATCAAGGTGTAAAAATTGTCACTTCGATTGTTTTCAATTATACTACCATGGTGTAAAAATCTTCATTTTAAAAAGAAATATACAATATGTGCATTCATTATCCAGCCGCATAAAGATACCATCCTTCAATAGTTATTTTTGTCTGGTTCGGCGCCTCCTAGTAAGTGTGCTGAAAATTAGTTATTTATTTATAAATTTAATTAATTTTCTCGTTAGTATAATAGACATTATCGAATGAGCAACTGCCGTGCGATATTGCGGGTTTCTAATTTACCGACCTCGGTCGATATCTTTTCTACAAAGCAACAGCAATTTTCATACTACTGTTGGTATGTTATTAATATTTTCTTTTTTAATTTTATTTTTGTATTGAAAATGTAAAATTTTTTTGAAATCGTTGTTTGTCGATAAAGATTTTATGAAGTATATTAAAATTTTTAATTATTAAGTTAAATACGTTCAATAATTTTCAATTAATAAAGACAGCAAACTAAAAGACAAAATGAGTAAAATAAAAAATACATTAAATATACTTACGATATGATTGGCTCGAGTACAGCATCTAACGTTGCATCACCGTGTGAATGACTTTGTTTGGTAGTATCAGAAAGATGTTTATAATATCCATCTTCATCTAATTGCCTTTGCGTCTACATCAAAGAAAATTTTGTTTACTAAAATATTTTATTTTTACAGGTAAAAATATAAAAATATAAATATATTTTAAATAATATAAATATAAAAATATTTTACAGGTAAAAATAATTAATAAAATAGTTGAGATTTCAATTAAAAATAAGATTGATCCACTGCGCGAATAACGCGTTAACACATACAATGTAATTACAATTTTAGAAATTACTCAGGTGATGTCATACATACGAAACTAAAATAATTACCAAATATAATAAATAAAGTTTAAAGTATTTTTAGAAAATTGCCGGTGCACAGAGCGTTGACATTATTGAATTGTGCAGAATGGCTGCTTAGTAAATTGATATCAATACCATTTGCAAGATAATAAGAAAATAGCTGGAAATTAGAGTTGATGCAACAATTTTCTAAGAATACTCGTCGAAGCAACGGTTGATAGAGTAGGAACAAGTAAAGGATCGTACAGCTCGTGTCTGTTTGGTGCTGTCGGCGGAACTGGAGCAGCAGCTGGAAAAGTCTTGTGTGATGCTCTCGCCGAGGCCGCTGTCGGCGTTGTTGTTGACCGGCAAGCGGCAGGCGCTACCATCCCGAGGCAAGCCAAGTGAAGAGGATGACGAGGAGACTTTGCGCGAGGAGTACAAGTCGTGCTTGCTGTCGTGACACGTAGACTCGACTCGACTGCTCGAACGTGGCAGCATGCACAAGTTATTCATTGTACTCTCCTCGCATTGGTAGACGGTCCTGCGATCTCTCTTCACCGAGAAGCCGACACCTCTGAAAGTTCCAACATACTGTTTTTCCTATTCCACAACAATTTGCTTCACTGACCGGCTGAATTGCAACCTTTCCTTAAACTACGATAAATAATTTTTTCCTCTGGCCTCATTTCGGTGGCAATTTATGGTCTCTTAACTACCCAATACACGGTCAGAGCACTGCATTCTTTCAAATCACAATTCAATTATTATAAACGCTTATAAACTCAAATAATACGAAAACATTTTTCATTCATTGTTACTTCAAATTTTAATATACAATTACGTGTCCTCGATCTTCGATCAAATGGTACAGAAAATGCTAACCGATCTCATAGTGTAAAACGAAGTTTAGACTGAAATTGACGCGATTGATATGAATTTGAAAAATTTATATATTATTTGCTACTTTGCAAGTAATACAAAAGTCATTATTACGCTATTATAGCTGGATCTGATATTTTTTCAATATGCTTACATGCAACAGGGATCGTTAATAGCTTATATACAATAAATACACATGTGCGCCGCAAAACTGCTGTGAATTTACAATCAAATGATTTATTGAAGAACTTGGATGATCGAGTAAATCATGCCTTGAAAAATAAATAAAATGAAGAATCACATGCTTCAAAAACGAGGAAATACACATGCTTATACGTTATATTTTTTATAAAAAAAGTGGACATGATGATAAAAAAATAATAAAACTAAAGAATAAAGTTACATCTAGAGTAAGAAATGCAAGCATGCAAATTGGTATATAAATATTTAAATTATAAAACCTGTGCTGCTCGAGCTTTTGTGTATTTCGAGCAACAGTTAGTAGAGTACTGGATACGTTGATGAAATATTTTTCTGTAGCTAGCAGTTTAAAAAGTGTATTGTAGTTTGGCTAAAAGAGTCACCTGCGCGAAACCGACAGAGAAATATTTTATCAAGTTCATAAACATCACGCTAGCAGAATGCAATAATGATACAAAAAAACACTAAGACAAAAGCAAAAACGAAGAAAAAAGAAATAAAACAGAAGGACCTTACAATCACTTCACATGAAAACATCGCGTGAAATAAAAAAATTTGAAAAAAAGTGTGAAAAATGAGTAGAGCTCTGGTGACCAGTTGAGCTAACTAAAAATAATCAAACAATGACTACGGATCCCGTGTCATCCTCCGCGCTCGGAGAATGATTATTTTGAATCTTGCAGGCGGGCTTGAGATCATCGTACCTAGCCGCCGTTGAGGCGGCCTCCACCGCCTCGTCTAGACGCGCGTTGCTCGCCTGCATGGAGCTGCCGTAGATGGGTAGTCCGTGCTGATGATGACTCTGAATCTGGTGCGTCTGCTGATGGTGGAGGTGGTGCTGTTGATGACGTTGTTGCTGCTGCTGGTAAGCCGAGGTCATTGGCTGGTGCTGGTGGCCGTGTTGTTGCTGCTGCTGCTGCTGTTGCTGCTGCTGTTGTAGCACCTGCTGATGTTGTTGTTGCAGCTGTTGATGCTGTAGCTGCTGCTGCTGGCGGTGGTGGGCCAACTGGGACTGCACCACCGTGTAGGCGATCTCGCGGCGCTGCTGCTCGCTCATCCCTGACGTGTCGACTAGGCTGAACTCGAGGTGTCTAGTTTTACGACAAATAATTGCATATCGTTTGGTCACTTATCTCTTGACATAGTTTGCTCAATCGCTCGTGCGATGCATGAATCGTGCTGTAATGATTTATTTGCCGATTCTACGACTCATCATCACTCTTGACGACGATTCGCGCATAAAAGAAATAAAAAGAACATATCCGAGCTCTTACTTTCTCAATTCGTCTGGTAATTGATGTTTGGAAGAAGGACTCCTGTGCTTACTTCTGTGTCGCCTTCTGGGCTCGGTTGTACTTATCTGGGCAATTACAAAGTTTCACATGTCGCAATTTGCAATATTGCAAAAAACTAAATGTTTGTGTTTATGTGATCAGATGTGATCGGAACCGTAAATGCAAAGTATTACTCACAACTGCCCTTTGGATGATTTCTCCCTTTCGTCGTTGCGCCTCGTGCCACTGCGGTGCCGAATCGATCATTTCGTTTCTACTGTAATGACAATTGAGAATGCGCAGACGTGTATTTTTGAACGAATACGAAGCTAGTGGTTATCGATTGACAGACTGACGTATGTACGCAATCATTACCTAGAATGTCGCGAGCTCCTGTGTCTCCGTCGGTGCTTCCTGTGCCCGGACTTTTGCGTGGAGCCGCGAGAAAGTTGAGACTCGCAATCGGACTGGCGATTGTGTTTCCTGTGGCTTCGACTGTGGCTCCGTCGCCGATGGCCGCGGCTATGACTGTCTCCGGAACTTGCGCTTTCCACCGAGCTACTCCTTCGATTCAGCCGATTCATAAGCTGCTCAAAGCAATAAATCATCGTTCATGCGCGCGAATGTACCACTGCGCGGTTACAAATGTTATTCGCGACGTCGAAAATATTTATAGCAACGCCAGCACGCCGTAGATGTTCGAAGAAAGAGAGAGAGAGAGAGTCCGGTGCCACATGACGCAGCTACATTTCGCGAGCCTCGTTACGTGCAATTAATTCAAGTGCGCGAATAGAGTTTTGCAATTATAAAAAGCACGCTTTAGCGCGATTGCGAAAAGGCAGAAACGAAAAAACGCAGAAAATGACTAGACAGGAGCGGAGAGAGAGAGAGAGAGAGAGAAAGAGGAAGCTCAACTGACAGCTGGTGCGGTGCCACAGGACCTGACGGACCGCGGGCTGGACGAGGTGTAGAGTCCGCGGGGCTGACTCTGCGTCCAAGGCGCGCTCCTCGTGCTCCGGGGGCTGGGGTTGTTGTTTCTGGGGGCGACGCCGGTGGCGTGCGCCAGGCAATTGCTGCTCTGGCCGAGCGAGCCCGGCAGCATCTGCTGCGGATTGCTGCTGGCTGGCGCCTCGCTGAAGCCCGCCACCATCTCCTGGCCCTCGACCACGCGGCGCTGCGCTCGCCTGCTCGGCATCCGCTGGAAGCTCGGCTGCACCAGCCGCCTGCTGGCCACCAGCTGCCGACAGTACGAACGAGCGACCGTGAGCGAGTCGAGCGGGGCTGCGGATGGCCTGCGTGGGCCGCCGGGGAGCAGTCGAACCTGCTGCGGCTTGTCGGCGACGGCGGATCCGTGCTGGAGCTGGCCGAGCGGCGGGCTGTAGGAGCGGAAGCGCGAGTAGGGGCTGAGCGGCGGCGGGCCCGTGGCCATCAGCCGGAAGAAGGCCTGGTGGTCGATGCAGCAGCGGAAGAGGTGCCGGCAGGCGCCCCGCGACGGCGTCTCGAAGCCGTGCGTCCGGTCGGCCGAGTTCTTCTCGCTCACCCGCAGCATGAAGTACTTGCCCTGCGAACCGAACGAGAGCGCGCACGCCTCGTGAGCGGCTCGCGTGCGACTTTTCGACTCGTCGCGCGGCCCACTCTGGCTTTGCCGTGGGAAAGCGGATACTTCCTACGAGCGCTCTCCGCTCGGCTTCCGCCGAAATTGCTCGCGGCTCGGAGCACGGGTGTCGTCTTTTGCTCTCCCAAAGCTTCTTTGCCGCGGCTCCCGGAGTTTCACCCGCCACGGAAGTGCGCCTGTGTGCCTCGCGTTGCACGCTCTACCCGATCATCCCGTCGCAGCTGTGCCTCGGCAGCGCTATTTGCGAAATGGCTAGTGCTAGTGGCAGCCGGGGCCGAGTAACGCTATTACGTAACCACGCTGCTCCTGTCTTCGTTGCAGCGTTTTCCGAGTCTCGTTGAACGCGGCAACGATTCACGAGGTCGTTGCAGCCAACCAAATAAGCAACGGGCTTACGACTTGCACGTTGGAGCATCGAGAACACCACGGATCGGACGATCGTCAAGAGAATCAAATGACTATTGTTTCGCGGGCATATCGGTTGGCCGATGGCTTTGGCAAATGACCAATTTGCCTATCATCTGCCAGATAGCGTTCTCCTCGAGGCTTCTTTCGTCTACTTACTCTAGAAAGAGTTCGGAAGGGATTCATACCTTGTGATAGATTTTGTTGATGCGCGGCCAGTAGTAGTTGCCAACTTTGGTCTTGTTCCTCAAAAGAATAATTCCACTCGGCGTCAAACCGAGGAAGTACTCGACGCAATCCTCTCCCTTTACACGAACAAAAAGTCGATGTTAGCTCGGGGAAAAAGCTCTGATCGATAAGTACAATGAAAGAGCTTGTCATTGTCGCAGCGTGCGCTTACCAGTACAGGGTGGAGGTCCACGCCATACATCTCCAACCATTTCACTTTATCCAAGTAATTCAGCTCGGCGGCTGATGGTAACTGTCCACTGCGCAAATGCCAAATACGAGTTGCGATTAGAAGCTGCACTCGGCGCTTTCCATTTAATTATGAGCTACTGAATCGCATTTTCATATAGAAAAAAAATGTATCATCTTACACGAGAGTTTTATGCAACTCGACTATTCGTGCCTCCAACTCGGACGTTTGATTCGCAAGAAATCTGAACTCGGACACGTAGCCGTAGGAGTGGCGCCTCGGATCATAATCACCAAGCTCAGCTACAAGCACATCGTTACGTACATTAATTTCAGACAGTCCATACGGCAAATGAGCCGTAAAGAGTGCAAGTTTCCCCTAGCTCTCCTCTTTCAGGTAATTGTATACGCGTTTCTTCGTCTAACTAATTTCTTTCACTAATGTCAGCTGTAGAAAGCTCGTTTAATAAAAAAAAGAATCGGTTAAGCGATCGTGTAATGTCGATAATAGCGATCTGGCGGACGCGGACACGCGTTGAAAATAGCTTATTCCTGCGTGTGCGGCTCCGGCGGAGTTAGAGGAAAATTTGCTCATGACGAGCGTGGAAAAGCCACGAGCGCACTGTAGCGAACGAAGAAAGAAGTCGCAGAGAGAGAGAGAGAGAGAATCAGTTGGAGAGGGACGTCGAGCTCAAGCAGAAAAAAAGGCTGAGCTAAGGGCGCGGCTGGTGTGCTGGCTCTACTGGCCGTATTACTCGTATCTGCTTGGCGAGATTCAAAGTCTGAGCAAATAGAGATGGCCGCGTGTTTGCGTCTCATCGCGCGCGTCAAAAGCCCAGCCCGCGGGGGAAATGAATGAGCTCGCTTTGTCTTGATGGGCGCAGACGGCATCGGCGACATCTTTCGTCTTCGTCGCGCTGCTGCATGCGTTTGTATGCCACGCATTACAAGACGCGACTCGTGAAAAAGAAATTTTTTGTGTCAAGCGCGCCTACCTCGGCCGTGTACTCGGCGCGGCCGAAGAGCCAAAGTAAGTACCGAGTGCGCATTGCCTCTCTCTCACTCTCTCCCAAATAAGAAATGGCTCAAAGAGCTTCCGACCCTGTCGTACTCTGGCATATGCAGCACGCTATCTGATCACTCTATCCGAGTACGTTCAGATTAGAATTACCATCTCGTCCCATTATACTCTACTCGAACTACCTCCCAAGCTCACACTCACATTGAACCACGTAAGCTCCAAGTTCAGCAGCAAGATCAAAAGACACGGGTAGCCTTCCTTGAAGAATGTCTTGTTTCACCTGCAGGAAGAATTGATACCTGAAACACCATCGATAGTTCGATCATTGGCTGCCACACAAACACGTTTTCGCAATGTACGATTGTTCCGATTCAAATATCATTCCCACCTGTCGTCTTCGACCATTAATTGTATTCGATTATTATTCGAAATTCAAGAATTTTTTTATCGCGATCCTGTGACTAATTAATACGACGCCTATACGTGACGCTAGAGAGGGCGGCCAATTTCGCTCATGCAACTCTTCAGCCGTTTTGTTCTCGGCGCGCGGTAAGTAGTCTTGCATGCGACGCGAAAGCTTTCAAAGAAGACAAGTGGCGACAGTGAGATGAACGAGGCTCGTGAAACGCGATATAACACAGACGCGATGATTAATTAATTGGAATCGATCGACGTGAGCTTTTTGCTGTTTGCCGTCACCGAGTCTAAAATAAACAAAGTAACAATCATTGCCGATTGGCGCAAGCTACAAATTGTCGTTCGCACATATTCTACGCTGAGGATAAAATATGATTTGTCGACCGTTTTATACGCAAAGCCGCGCGTTTGAAAAAGATAAATTTCGCGAATGAAAAGCTGGGATTGAAGTTTTAGTTTGGACAGCGATAGGCAAAGCGATAGGTAAGCTTTGAAAATTAATTTGTCTTGTAATGAATTTGCGCGCAAGGGCACAGCAAGGAGATCGCCGATATAAACGGTATCCGGAAAGCAAATAAAGCAGCGGGATATAAGAAGCAGAGGGAACGTAGGCTGTATCTTCGCCAGCCATAATTTCGATTTAAAGTTGGCTGATCGTTGCGGCCCTTCGTTTCGTTAATTGCGGGCTCTGGAAGGCCGGCGCTTCCTCTTCGCAACGACCTTGCCTCTTTTCTCCTGGGCGATGTTTTGACCGGCTGTTCTACTCTTCGTTTTCTGTCGTTCGCAACGACGAAGGTGTGCTCGCGTCATCACGGTATAGCCCTTCGATATCGGCCCTTCGCGCGCATCATTTAAATGCCATTATCTTAAACGTGATTTTAGGCGACCGAAAATCACCCACCTGACCTTAGGCAAAATTTAGCTTGCTCGGCTCGCTAATCAATAACGTTCGATATATCCTACCTAATAAATTGACTTTCGGGCGAATTTTTCGGTTGGGTTAGCGTGTAAGCTGCACAAACCTACCTGGTGATCTCCTCGATGAGCTTGCAGGGATCGGCGGCGTAAAATTTGACGCAGAAATAAAGCGTGTGGGCGTCGGGACTGAGATCTCCCTTCTTGGGTTTGAGCTGCTTGCTAATCTTCTTGCTCGGATCGAGCCATTGCTGCAAACGCCCGTATGGACTTTAGGACGAATTCAATTAAGCGGAGGCTGATACGCTCTACTCGCGCGGAAATTGTCAAATTAAGCGCCAATAGAAATATCGCCGCCCCCCCTCCCTCGTTTCGCCTTACGCCGTCTGCACCATTACACGCACGCACCACGCCCGTGTGCACGGCTGCACGTATGATTTAAGCCACTGTCTGGACAAACGTGAAACATGCGCGCGGACTTTGCCCCGCGGCTCGATCGATTTCCGAGAAAATTGACAATTTAGTTTGAACGGCACGCCTATTCCTTATTATTCGCGACTTGCTGGGCGCGATCTTTTCGATTTCAAATTAATAAGCGTCGTGACGGCGCCGATTCGATTGAACAGCCTCGATCGAAAAGCTCGCTTGTAGTCTCACCGTTTGGTTTTCGTGATCGAGATAGCGCAGCCCGAAATACGCCGTTTCCAGTAAGTTGAGATGACGAAAAACTCGGTCCAGCAGCTCCTGTCCCAAGTTCGAGCTCTGAAACCAAAACGAAAATCATTCGCTAGCAAGCGCTGCGGATAATACCTCCGCGATATCGTATCATTGGAAATTTGCCAGTAATTATTCACTTGGCGAGCGGGGCGACAGTGCATGCGGACTTTCTCAAAATAATAGAAAAGAACGACAATGTACGTTGCTTGGACGAGTCTTTGGAGGAAGAGAAATAAAGCAATGATAAAAATATAAATAAAGATATAGATCGAGATATAATGTATGCAGCGGCCGGTTATGGAGTGACGCTTGCATCCCGTTACTACGAGTACAAGCATTAAAGTGCATACGCTCGCAAGGACGGTCCCTTCGTGAAAACGAGCGCTGCAGCGAGAGCGCGCGCCATCGTCACGGCTGGGCGGCGACCCTCTCTGGGAACCGGAAAACGATCGTTCCGATCTCCTCGCCAAATCCGCTTCTTTTTTTCTTTCCCCATCACGGTTCTTCAAATCACGGAATCGCTTCGAGGCCAACCAGCGCATTCGCTGCTATCGTTTCGTTTTTCCTGGAGTGCCGCGCCAATTAAATCTATGGGCTCGTTTACGATTTATCTGCGGGCTTTTGGGAAATTCCAAATTTTGCTTTCCTGCTTCCGGATTACACCTGCGATATAGAAAATAACAGAAAACGAGCGGAACCACTGCTCAGTCACGTTTCAAACTTGTTTCTTTTGCACTATCAAAGAATATTTTTTCAATTTGGACAGACTCTAAATCCACGAGTAAAGTGGATTTGTGGATATACGCGGCAAGAAAATAATACATTACGCTAGTAGAAAGTACACACACTCCGTGTTCGCCAACTTGTACTACCTGTGTTGTCTGCATGACTTTTCGGCAGTCCCCCGTAAAGAAAACGCAGAACCGCATCGATACTCTCTATAGAAGTAATCCAAGTGCCTGTTGTACCGCTGGAGCGGAAAAGGCGCATCGCGCATGCGCAAGGTACTTTACTTTCAAACTGCTCATGCAGTATTCGTGCGGTCCTGTGCTCCCTGCAAGGAGGGCGCACAGTCACCACTTTACGCGCAGTGTAGGAAAAAAGGAAGTAAGCGTAATGAAAGAACAATGCCGTAGAGAGAACAAAACAAAAAGATATGGAGGAGAGAAACCGTACGAGAGAGTCGGGCAGTGAAGTAGGGAGACAGTGCGCGTATACGTATACACGGAGATAAAGGCCGAGGACGGGTGGTGGGAGTTGAAGAAAAGAAAAAAAAGAAAAATGAACGAACGTATACAACGCGTACGCGTTGACGGACGCGACCGCCGCAGCCAGGATTACGACCGGTTTAGCTCTGCGCGAGCACGCGATCGACCGCTACTTTCGCACATTTCCATACGTGCACCTACTTATTACATTTATTCTAGTTTATTTTTCCGAAAGCGTCTCGCTCTTTTTTACGCCAAGAGCTCTACTCGGCAGACCACTCGAAAGGCCTCTCATGCTCAACATAACTAATATTCAACACAAACGGCAAGGAGCGCCGTTTCTTTGGAAAATACTAACTTCCCCGCGAGAAAGCGGCTGACGAGACATGGCTTATTAAAAGTGCGTCACGAGTGTACTCGGGCCAATAAGCAAAAAGCACGATTGCACATCCCTTCGACAGAAAAAAATTGGCTAAATACTGACGAGGCTAAAATTTCATGCCTGCGAAAGTACATTGCTAATTGGCAGTTTCTCGTCATATTATTTTTTTTACGGGTGCGAATTGAGCCAGCGCGCAAAATTTTTGGCATGCTTTGTCAACAGCTTTCTACCCTTTTCTCGGCTGATACAGCATTGTCCCTAATTGTCCATAATTAAATGAATACGTTCGTGATCGATGTTCATCGTCGTGACAAGAGAAAAGGAGCGGAGGTAAAGATTGTACTCTTTGCGCGGGAGCCTCTCGGGACAAAAGCTCTTTAATGAATGATTCGTCTCGCTCGAGCAGAGAGTGGCGCGCAAAGCTAATACGGACTTTTGGGAGTCTCGGGCCTTGTTCTTCGCTCCAACTGGTCGGTGACTGCTCTTGCATTTCACAGCTCTTGGTCGCGCGGTGAGTCGGCTGTATGGCTTCATTACTCGCTGCAATGTCAATGACTCGTAGGTAGGACGAAGAGGCCACGTGACGCGGCGTATCCGGTGCCATAGGCCGAGTGACGCGAGGCGGTGCAACCAAAAAGAAGCAACGAAGAGGCGCACGGCAGATGGAGATAGGGAGAGAACGAGAGGCGAAGCGAGCCGGGAAGGAAGTATCGAACAATGCGCTCGCTGCGCTTGCATGCAAATGTCATGTTTTTACTTGTCATTTCGCAACTTGTTTCCGCATTTTCTCGTCGTTCGCTGCGTTCATCTTCTCTGCGGCGCTTCGATCGTTTAAATTTGTTTGAAAAAGTGGATTAATTGGTCGATGAAAAACGCATAATCTATCGTTCATCCGAGAGCACAGCGATGGAATTGGACTGTTGTTGCTTTTCTTTCCGATCGATTTTGCCAAAGCGAATAGTCGTCCGACGACACACGATTGCTCTGCCGATAGACTACGGCCCTTTACCCGTCCTTTCCTTGTTGTCCTCTCTTCCTCTGTCTCGCTCTCTCTCTCTCTCTCTCTCTCTCTCTCTGTCTCTCGGTCTTTCTCTCGGTGTTTGCGGGAAAGAAAGAGAAGCGAGCTTTATCCGGTGAGCAGTCTAATTAGTCAAGCGCAGTGAATATTTATATCGGAGCGCGGCGACAGCAAGCGTTTTTTCTCTCTTGGATGATTCGTTTCCGCGGCAGTGGAGCACTGCGAGCTGCAGCGCGAAGCAAGGGATACGTTGCGCAAAACTGTGGGTACTTTGTTAAAAAGCCTTATTAGCTTTTACTTTCGGGGAAATTACTTTGGCAACTGGCGGCCGAACAATGGCTTCTCTGACAATTAAAGCAGCCTGCCAACCCCCTTTCCAGAAGTGAGACGACTGAAAGCCCGCGCGGATCCTTACTCATAATGCCCATTTAATATCAGCACGTAATAATGCTTGTTATCTTACCGGACACATGGACATTCATTTACATAGGTACAAGACCTCTTACTTTTAAGCTGTCGTCGTATTTTTCGAAAATAACAATATCCGGTACGTAACAAAGGCTAGGACTTCGCGCTTCTTGTTGGAGTCAAGAAGGACGTTGTGGACGAGATCAGACAGACGATACGCGTGTACGTATTTTGGAAAAAGGAAGGCGAGAACGCAAAAGGGCAAAAAACGCGCCTTTAGCCGGTCCTATCGAGGAAACAAAGTCCGAGCTGGCTAGCCGAGTGGTCGTAAAACGAGCGAGCAAAGTCAGAGGACTAGAGGCAGAGACGCGAGAAGGAAGGAGCGGGCGTTCGCGCGCTCGTACGCACGCTGTGTGCTCGGGGCTCCGATAAAGAGAAAAAAAAGCGAGAAACGGAGAGAGACAGAGGATATAAGGCAGGGAATAAGGTGCACGCGCGACGACGACGGCCAACAACGCCGCCTGCAGACGCGACGTGCGTCCTCCGAATACAAAAGGTGCCGTGCTCGCATGCCGACACGCGATCATAGTATCACGCGAGAATACCAAGTCTCGTGCCCTCGGGGCGAGCCGGCGAGCTGGCGAGGCTGGCCAACGCACTGCCGGCTACTCGCGCGTTTATCCGTCTTTTTGCCAGTTACGTCTTGCTCTAATCGTCCGCGAGCGCGATGGCACCGAGTTCTGAGCTTCCTTTCGCCGTGAGACGCGATCGATCATATAAGAATGACATCCGACAAGGACCGGGGGAGCAGTGATTAAGCTCGTGAAATAAAGCTGGGCGCGACTCCGTTGGCATCGCTTAGCCGGAGATTAAGGAATTGAAAGCGAGCCCGCGCAGATAAGGAGAAATGGAGTGCGGCGAGAGAAAGCGCGCGGAAGAGCGAGAAAAATCGTCGGCGAGCGGACTGGAAGAGCGGTAGCCGGGCGCAGAATGGCTCGACTACAGAAAGGAGGAGGAGCAAGACTGTTATCGGGAGAATCGCCGAGCGGCGAAAAGCCCGGAGGAAATTGACGTACGACAAGATCGGGCACAAAGTGGCAAAAGCGAGACTGCATTATACGCACTGATGAGCGGCCCTTTCGTCTACTTTTCTTTCAAATGGTCTCTCGGCTAATTATCTAAGCTAATGTCAAAGCTGCCGCAATCGAAAGCTCGCCCTCGGCTTGTTTCGGATAACTCAGGCCGAGCGACCGATCGAACGGCGTGCATAATACCCGCGAAAGCTTGCGCCACCGAACGAACGAAGAGTCTTTGGCGCAGCGCTAACTTCCAAGCAACGGAAGAGAAGCAGCTGTAATTGGAGCAACAAAATTGCAAAGCGCGAGTGCGGACTCGCGTAATGGCTGAACTAAAGTCCGAGGCGAGGCCCTTAATAAGCGGCCGCGGGATAGGCGCGCGATTACGTCGTTATGCGCCACCGAGGCCGGCCTAGTCGCGAGCGAACTGATCGCACGCGCGAATACCTATCATCGGTTTGTCGCTTTATCGCTCCAACCCGTTTCCTCGATAAAACAATTTAGCGGACGTAGCGAGCGAGAGAAGCAGCCGCTTTCAGGTGCGTCGATCTTTTTGTAAATCTTGTTTGACGCACGTGCCGTTCGCTCTGGTCATGCCGATCGATCCTCGTGACAAAACGAACAAAGAGGAAAGAGGAAAGAGGAACGAGGAACGAGCAACGAGCAGCGAATCTAGCGCTCGACTGCGCGAGTTTGAGGTAGGCTCTGCCGCTGAATGAAAATAACGTGCTTCGAGAAATCGGAAAACAAGATGAGAGCCACTTGATAGTCGTAAAAGAAATTGGATGGCCATGCAGTAGGCAAGCTCGAGTACCTGTAAACATACACATTAACGCAGTACGCCTGAAAGTGCGTTCAATTTCCAGTTGATTTTTTTGCCGTGCACTGCAATAACCGGCGTAAATCGTATTTGTTCGTTTTGCAAACCGTCGACGCGACCTTTAACTTGAAAC